CCTCCTACCTCCATCATCAATCTCTTACCTCATCGTCCCATCCTTCTGAAGCTCCTGCCAGCTGGTAGTGCCGTTTCCTCAATTCAGCCAGCTTGACTCTTTCCTTCTCTAGTTTACTCTCCAGTTCCAAGACGGCAACCTGCGCATCCATCTCGTAGCGTTTCGTCTGAGTCAGCGACAGTTTGGTGAAATCATTGACGTCTGTACCAAAAGAAGAAAAAGCTTTTGTGAATTTCACCGGAAAGTATGCTTTAGAAAGCACTGTTGACAAAGAAATTGTTTCTTCAGGAAATGTGGTGGAAATATGAAGCCGAAAATCAGAACTGTCATTGGTTCCATGGAATCTTTATTAGCACAGAGACAGCAGCATTAAAAGATAGGCGGGTCATTCTAGGAATTTGGGGTCCAATTTTTCACTTTTGAATGAAGTACTTCAAATTGCCTGCCAAACAAATAGAAATAATTTGAAATCAGTTTAAGCGATATATCACTTGCCAAAGTATATACATGTCAGGTGCAACAGGGACAGAAATGTGTCACATGTTGGACGCCAAATTTACAGAATGACCCAGAAATGACTTCAAGACCCCAAATTTTCTGATTTGTGGTAATACTGCAGGAGTACATTTTACAGAAGACATAAACATTACTCCCGGAAAGACAATTTTTTTAGAATGTTTCAGTGACATGCAAAATATGTAAACTCAAAACAGACTAAGTAACACAAACATAGAAAAAACTGTTTGGAGCTATTTAGTGGAAGACATTGCTAGTAAGTGGTAACAATGATTGAAGTGATCAATTCACCAACCTCCTTCTTCGATGAGCTGCGCTCCTGTCTTGGCCGATGCGACCACAGCGGCCGTCGACGACGCCACCTCCCGCGAGGCTCCCTGCAGTCCCTTCAGGTTCTCGCTCTCCCGGTTGGCCTTGACCTTGCTGGCTGCCACCAGCTGGGCCGTGCAGGCGGCTATCTCGTGGGAGCAGACCTCCAACTCCTCAAACTTGCCCTTGCCTTGCATCAACTTGTCTGAAGCATCCCTGGTGACAGAACAAAAGAATGTGTGGATGGTGACTGATACAAAGAAGGTATAGACAGACAGGTGGCTTTGGTAGAGGCAGTAAATATGAATTCTTCACATTTACAATAAATGAAGAACTTCTGTTGAATTCTCTGAGGTTCTGATTTTTATTTCCAAAATGTAAGTCCTATTTTCTTTGTCGAGGTCATTTGCGACCACTCAAAAGAGCAGTCAAGAGACCAGTCGAGTGACCAGTTACAAGACCAGACTCACAACCAGTCAAAGAGACCAGTCAATAGACCAATCACAAGACCACGGCCAGTCTCAAGACCAGTCAGAAGGTCAGTCACAAGACCTGTCACAAGACCAATCACAAGACCATGACCAGTCTCAAGACCAGTCACAAAGCCAGTCACAAGACCAGTCTCAAGGCCAGTCACAAGATTAGTCTTAAGACCAGTCAAGAGACCAGTCTCAAGACCAATCAAGAGAAAAGTCAAGAGACCAGTTACAAGACCAATCACAAGACCACAACCAGTTTCAAAACCAGTCACAAGACCAGACTCAAAACCTGTCACAAGACCAGACTCAAGACCAGTCAAGAGACCAGTCACAAGACCATAACCAGTCCCAAGTCCAGTCATAAGACAAGTCTCAAGACTGGTCATAAGACAAGTCACAAGACCAGTCAAAAAAAAGGAAACTCAATGCCACAATTGGCTTCTATGTTGTTTTGAAAAGTTCAAAGCATACACAGAAATATTTTAACAAGTTGGTCTTCTAAAACTCTGCATTACAGTAAGTAGTACATGAGTAATTCCAACAAAGTGGCAATAAATGCGCAGGAAAAAGCATTCTTATTTTAGCGCATGACCTACCATAATAAATGGATGAAAGTGAATAATGAACATTGATTCCACTTACACCAGATGGGTGGCACCAACACCCACAAGCTTGGCAGCAGAGATTAAGCCTTCTGTCCACCTGTGATGTCTCTTGTAGAACTCCCCAGCAGAGGCCGTGCCCTGCAAGCCAACAACACAGATATCAATCCAAACACGCAAAGAACTTGCCGATTCTCAGACTTTGAAAAGCTTTAATTTCACAAGCGTTAGTGTGAGCAGAGCAACAAGTTTCGAGCTTACGGTTTTTGCAAGCTTGTCTTCACAAAATGCCCCAAGCTCAGCACACACTAACAACGGCACGTGCTCAGTGCATCAGCCCATACTGTTGCTAGGAAATAGAGCGCCCTCTTTCGCTCTGTACAAAGCCATTGGGAACGAACAACTACATATTTACATTTTTCCTCTGTCGTTTTTGGAATTCTTAATCAGCCCTTTTATATTTGGAGCTCTTTCATACAGTGACGAGGGAAAATCATAGAGGTGTATCACATATTCTCCTTCACTCAGCATGTATTTTCCTTGTGGTGACTTGCATTTTAGTAATTTTAACAACTGAGGTATTCTTTAAAGACCACAAAATAGCACAGGGGAATATTTTTGGGGAATACATTGTATATTCCCCTTCACTACTATTTCCCTCTGCAGTGACTTGCAATTCTTGTTTCTTAATAACCAAGAAATTCTCCATGGGGACTAGAGAATACAAGAGGGTATATCACACTCAAACTTTCTTCACCAACTATTTCCCTCTATTTTTTTCCTGACATTCTTTCCAGAGACCAGAGAATAGTAGAGGGGTATACTGTATACCCACCCTTCCTTTGGATACTATTTCCCCCTCCTCTTTCTTGGCAAACTTTTTTTGAATTACAGGCAATAGTAGAGGGGTATAATGTATACTCACCCTCCCTTTGGCTACTATTTCCCTCTACTATTTCTTGGCACTCTTTTCAGACTACAGGCAACAGTAGAGGGGTATATTGTATATTCACCCTTCCTTCAGCTACTATTTCTCTTTGTAATGACTTGGACTTCTCAATCAACATCTTAATGCTGCTCATCAGATCGTTACAAGAATCCAGAATCTTCTCGTTCACTTCCAGCTTGATCCCGGTATCTGCCTGGCGAGATTTCTTCAGCATTTCCTACAAAGATAAAATTTTAGACATATGATCATCCTTTATATCCTTTATGTCGTTGTTTATTGGGCATAACTTGTGACATTGAATTTGATGACTTGTGAAGAGTTGTAATGGCTGGTGAGAACCTGTAATGGACTTTGAGGACCTGAGGGCATTTGAGAACTTGACCACAACACTGGCCAAAAGAAGCACCTGGCACTTACTGGAGTGTAAGCCCAGAAAATAAGTTGACGTTTCACACAAGTTGAAAAATTCACAGACGCTGAATGGGAATAAATAAAACAAATAATTAAAACATCCTCTTCAGCCATTTTGGTTTTGAAAACACGTAGAGCATCCAAGAGAGTTTGAAGAATTTTAGCAACAAAAGAAAAACACCGAAATTCAAAGAATGACAAACAGCAAAAAACACCAAAAGACTGACCAACAGACAGACAGCTTACCGCAATCCTGGCTGCTGCCTTGTCCACGGCATCTGTCGTTGCCTGCATCTCTTGGTCCACCAGATCACCAAATTCTTCCTGATTGTCGGATTCTTGAGGTAACAATTCCTGTTGGGACGGCAGAAATTGGACATGTTATTGTACAACACTCCAGCTCAGAGTTACAAATGAAGAAAATACACATCCTTGCCAACCTTTACGATGCATTTATACCAAATACCTTCCCATAAATCTTGAACGCAAGAGATACATATATATTGTGAGTCTGCAAATACATAAATGGTTTTGAAGTTTTCTGAAACTCTGAAGAAAAATGATAAGGTAAATATTTCTTGTGTTTGGTCGCTGACAGATTCTTGCCATGTTCTGTTTAAGGGCTAGAACACCTTTCCTGAGAGAATCTCGAGTAAAAAGTGTTCAACCCTCACCATCAAGGATTTGCTAGGAACCTTCTGCAATCCTCTAAAATCCTCCACTGTGCAGGCTACAAATGGAGCATTCTTTGTACCTCAACTTTCAAGGGGCATCAAGCCCCATGTTAAGTAACAGTTGTTGGGCTCTACTCTCCTCAATCCTACAAAATCCTACACAGACCTCGCAATGGATTTTGAATGACCTGGGAGTATTTGGGTTCTAAACACTTTTAAAATGACCAAACACTGAGAACAACCTGTGGTGATTAAGCTCAGAATTGGAGCCTCCTACCTTGGCAATTCTTATGATCTCCTTCAAGGCCTCCTCCAAGCTTTGTTTACTTTTGTTCATTCCATCAGTCTGTGAGTCGTCCTTCAACGTCTCGAGGAGAGCCAGTGATCTCTCACCGGCTGACTTGCAGGCACTCGAGAGCCCTAAAGAGTAAATGATGAAACGACAACACAAATGGCTGGTCATATGAAGGAATCATGACAAACTTACAAACTTATCGAAGAAGTTTATCAAATTTGCGCTACTTATAATTGATGTTTTTTATTTGCTTATTTTGCTAACTAGCTACAGGCTTTGTAAATAAATTAATGACAAAGATATTTGAAACATCACAGACTACATGAGGCACTACATTATAGCGTTTCTTTCCTCGCCTTCCACCTCTGTGGTCTCGGGTTCGTATCCCGGCCCAGTCCACATGAAGATTGGGTTTTTCAGTCCCTACCAGATTCCGTGGGTTTTACCCAGAATCTTCCTCTGGGGTTTTCCTCCCACCTCTTAAACCTGTAACTGCTTCTCATTGTATCCTCTCAACAGGTTTCTCCAGGCTTGCAAGCTGCAGTGCCTGGGGTGCTTTTGAGGAATTCTTGGTGTCATTACCAGAAATGCTTAATAGTAATTATAACTACTACTATACATATGACAAGCAACCACGGCAAAGTAATTCTAGTACGGTTAGCGGCAAAATAAAAGAAGAAAACGAAGACAGTGAATCTCAAATAATGAAGAAAAAGAAGAGACTTACACAAAAGAGAATCAAAAGAAACCAAAAGAAAGTGGAAAGTTACCTTCGCTGAAATTGAGCGGAGCCATGTTGGATGTCGCTTTGCCTTGCAATATGTACTCTCCCAGGGTGTAGGAGAAAGATGAGATGTGACGAATTAACAGATTCAATTCTGGGCAAGACAAAAGTAACCGAAGGGTCTGAATCAATCTCTGCATGCCCTGTGGTCAGATTTCCAGTTAGACTTCAGTCTAAAGTCTGGTCCAAAGTCCTGTTCGACAAGTTCACATCATGCCAGTGAAGGGCACAAATCTGGGGTATTGTCTGTATTGACCGGAGGCTTTCCAATTTAGAGAACCAAACTAGACTACTTCGGGGCTCCAGCACTGCTAAGAAAGGAGATCCATTTGGAGATTACGAATTCACAGTTCAACGGCCCCTTCTCGTCAGTCAATACCAACAGATCTGCCACATTTGTCCTATCTTCAGCAAGCCCTACACATGAAGGTCATCGGTTGTCCATCTCTTTATCATCATATAAGAGTGTGACAAGAATGCATGGGAGGCCTACACTTACCACTGTCTTTGTTCTGTATGTACCCTTGGAAGTTCTTCTGAAGCTTATTCAGAGACTGGTCCACGTTATCTGACCGTGTCAGCAAATATTCTGAGCAGAGAACGAGTCAAATCGTGGTTGGCAACAGACACAAACTATTCCATTCCAAGAAGGGGTTGGTACAAGATCATAAGGTGGCTTGACGAGACTGTGCATTATTCTCAAAGGAGTCAAGGGGGATCCAGAAATGTCTGCCAATCAGGGGTAGCCAATGTTATGCAAAGCACCTCCATCCTCCTCTATAACTGCAAACTCGTTCATATTTTGTCGCCACATGCATGATGATGCCATTCAATTACACAATATAATAATCTGTTGCTGAAAAATCATCTTACCTGCCGTACATGTAGCTGTGGAGTATGCTGGATCATCTATCTGTGTCAACACCTGTCTGATCATCTGCTCAGCTTCCTCAATAGCCCCCACTGAAAAACCAATCAATTAGCATTATGTAACAGGTGTTTACATAATGAGGTCAATTTACAACATTACAAGTAGAGGATTACGAAACCTGTGTACTTTGACTCAATTTTATGGCAGCAGAAACTGACTTTAGGGTTAGAAATTTTCAGGAAAAAGTTCAAGCCCTTTCATCCGTAACTCTGATAAACCTACTGACGAATTTTAGCTGATCTTCTGTCACGCTGTCCTGGCTCCATGCAATATGCTCTGTAACACACACAGTTACTGGTTACCAGGCATGTACACTGCTCGGTAGACTGGTACTTAAATTAGCGACAAAATTGGTCCAACCATCACAGGCTAGTGTGTTTACCAATAATTGCTCGAACTATCAACAACCATAGTTCTGGACTGAATTGCTCTGAGCACAAATGTTAACTTCTCTGGAGCTGGTTTACACAACTTCACACAAAGCAAAAAGAAAAAAACAGGTTACCAGCTAAAAATGTCTCACGATGCTTATTACCACTGACGGGTTCCCTGATTCTTCTCACTCGGTGTGTAAGTTAGATTAGAAGACTTGCAGCAGACGTTTCCTGTCACTTACCCAGTATCAACTTTTGCTTGGCGGCCATTTTGCCCTTGAGTCTGTCTTCTGCTGCCGACTTCTCTTCCACGGATTGTTGCAACTGCTCGACGAACTTCTCGGCGTTCAGCTTGGCTAGCTGTGACTCCTCCGTCATCTTCATCACAGTGTTGAGCTGTTTAGTGACATCTGCATTCTGTAAAATTTCAAAACATGAAATTCAAATATCAAGAAATATATATCAAATGTAAAGAAATTACCCCTGCTCATCAGGCCTACAAAAATTTTTCAGCATATCTAAGCTCCTTTTAGAAACATACGGCTCAATGCTGTCGGCTGGAGCAGAGGTTCTATGTGCACACCACGAACTGTGCCATGCAGCTACCAACACAAGCACCATGGTTCGGAATCCTCCCTGTACACCATGTGAACTAGGTTTGTCGGCCCAGCTCTAACACATGAGCTTCTGTACTCCCTTCTCCGAGCCATTTCTCACACAAGCCTCCAATGAAATCTCTAACAGTATTTATCAGACTACAGAGAAGGAAATTTACGCTCAAGGGATTTTCGGTCATTACCGCCAGAAAATAAAAAAATCAAGACCCACTTTGGTAAAGGAAAGATCTCTAGGAAGGATCTCTACTCACCGATCTAAGTAACGTAACATGCTCTTCTCTGAGTTTGCCGTACACATCTTTCATCTTCCTGAATTTATCTTCATTCACTCTGGCTCTCTCTAACAAAACAAAAGCAAGGATTCCAAAGATTACTTGAATCAAAGAATTAATTGTTGCCCATTTCTAAAGAACAGTTTTGTAAAACACAAGTTCTAAAGAACTTTTGTTAAAAAATGATAGAACAATTAGAAATAGGAACTGGAAAGACATATCATACTTTCTGCTTCTTCAAGTTGATCCGTCAAAGCTGCCGAGGCGACAAGATTTTCTGCTTTCACCGATTCCTCCTTTAGCTTGGTCTGCAAGTCCTCGTTCTCCTAACGGGCACAGAAGAAAGGTCAACAAATGAAATTTCAACCTGGAGCGGTATCAACTCTCTTCATTTTACACCCTAAAGGGAAACTTCATGGGAGAGGAAGGGAACCTTCTGACTGTTTGGGGCAGGATTCATACCCTGTGATCTTGGCTCACCCCACATTTAATCTTGAAACTTGGCATGCATGAACCGGTGACAGCATCCACTACGAACAAACCTGCGAGGTTGCAACCCATCTTGACAAAACATTTTTACATTTGCAGTTCACGCTTCCTGAGAATGACAGCCAGAGCATTGAGCACATCAGGAAGGAAAGTTCACATTTTAGCCAACCTGTCTTGGAGAAGTAGCCATTTCGTGATAATGGAAACCCCACTGACTGCAACACATCAGCTAAAACCTCCTGAATGCTCTTAGTAACTGCAATAAAACTCACAGATAAAAAAAATGTACAGCGTCCAATGCTCCCCCCCTTTAGGGTTGATACACAGAAGAACATTTTTGTTGACCACACCTGATAACTGTTCTCGATGAGCCGTCGGTGCTCGTGAAGTTCCTCTTCAAGATGCAGTATCCGCTTCTTGAGATCATTGATGATCCGTTGATCCTCGCGCTGGATTCGGTCCAGCTCAAACTTCAGCTCCTCGATTTCTTGCTGCAACTGCTCAATCAGAAAATCCCTGCCAAAAAGAAAGAGACAAATCAAAGAATGAGGACCATTGACTCCCACAGAGACGGCAATTTCGCTGAACCAATTGTGCAGCCCTGTCAAAAACAGATTGCAGTACCAACAGTTATGAAACACTAACCAACTTTGCTTGAAATAAAGTTCTGTACTTACTTTAATTCTTTGGGGGCCTATACCAAAGAACCGTTTTGCATAAACACTGCTCAACAATGTTACTTACTTGGCAAAAAACTGGCTAGGAGCCAGTGACCAGCACATATTGCAACGTTAGACATTTTGGTTGGTAACCCAATTTTACTAAGCAAAACAGTGATCTGCTTATCAAATTTACGTACTCAACAGTTTAAAACTGGCCAAGGTACGCATCTGCGTAGTTATTACTACTACTGCCATGTACTTAATAATTTAAAGCGTAGTTAGCACAAAAAAGGCAACTGTAAGCACGATTTGATGGTAAGCGAGGAAATGGTTAGGTAAGCGCATTTGAATCTTACCTCTCATCTCTCTGGGGTGTCGGGGGCTGGGGCGATGATGTCTGTCCGTTCTGCTGTGGTGAGGAGAAGTCCAGGAGCATGGCCGTGCTTGACAAGGGCTCCTCTTGTCGCGGGGGGAAATCCTCAAATATCGGCTCTGAGAAAACCTGCGAAATGAGAAGTTTGGGTTAAATAAAAACGTGGTTTGATCAGAATCTGAACATGCATTACATCTGTGCAAGTGGTTTGAGGGACAGGACTGACATTCTCGCTCTCTCCTCAAAAAACCAAAATTCCCAAGAGCTACGTATTGGCTTACACGTTGAGAAAGTGATACAAATTGCCAACAGCGACACCTTTCAATTATCAATAGTAGCGTGATTTTCGTGACCACTGTCTTTTTTGGGGGGGGTACTTTTAGCTAAATTGTCCAACTAAGTAAACTATGATTAATTTTTCAGAGTGACCTACGCAACAATTTGACAGTCTCAAAATTGAATTTTTTTGGGGGTGCTAATCAGAAGCCATAACAACCATTCGCCGTTTTTTCAAACCTTAAAATGCAACAACTTGATGACTACAGCGACTTGAAATGTACAAATCTGTAAAGTGAGGGCACGTGACATTTTGATCCCAGCAGAAGCTTTCTAAAAGGCTTTGAGGCTTCTTTAAATTTTTTAGACTTTTTTTCTGAAATGGCAAAAAAAGCAAGTCTGTTGCGATCCTTTTGGCTCATCAAGTCAGTGTCTATCTCCGGTTTCCTCGGCATGACACGACTGAGAATATGTCTGTTCCTCCTTGGACAGGATGCCAGTCTATGCTCAGCCTGGGTGGAGAGAGGCAAACATGGGGTGCGACTAATTTGAGGAGTAGGGAATATCCAAAGAAGACACTGACGCTCGGTGGAGGGCTGTCTTTGATGGAACCGTCTGTTGATGATTCCATGGTCTGTAGGATGATCGCGGGATCGATGTACGTGTCGCTCTGCTTGGCTGCCAAGAAGAAATTTGGTGGTTCCTGCGGAAGGGAAATATTTGAAAAAGGACAAGATAAATTGCTAAGAGGAGTGCATAAGTGTGAGACAAGATGATTAACCCTAACCCTGCCAGATGTAGCACAGTGCATCAGATGAAAAAGATGGATGCCCTTTGATGCACTTGGCAATCAACAGCAGCCGAGCAAAGTGGTCATGTGGAGACAATGAGAGCTAGTCTCATTGTACAATGCCACTGTTGGATCTTGCGGTGACTGGCAACCACAGACTCCCAGGCTGTTTGGCCTTGAAGAGAGTTGACCTGTTGGATCTTGTTACACTGGGCAGGCTACCCACTTTGACAAATGATGCAGTTTGATGCGTCTGGCAGGGTGTCCAGCTAAAATACGTTGGAAAGTTAGGATTAAACTCCAAAACTGCAAAAACTGGACCAAAAAATGGGTGACCAAATTGAAGGCTGGAAGGATATGATACAATGGGTAGCTGATTAATATGCACAGAAATTGTAACTTGGATGGAATGAGAGGGAAGTTACCAGAACCACTATGGAAGGAAAACTTTGAACAGACTTCAAGAAGAATCTTCCACAATGTGAAATGAACAGAAATGCTCAACATTTTTCAACCGCACAAAGTCCATTTTTGTCTGGATGCCAAACTCAGCGATAAATCAAACCACAGAGCTCCTCATGCAAACGAACACATACTGAAAAGTATGGCCTTCAATCTCATTTTGATGGGTTTCTACAAGTTCACATGTGGAAGATTCCACAGAAAATGGAGAAATCGCTCACGTCAGGGAGGCTGGGCACTTGGATGAGGTTGCGGAAGTAGATGAGGTTGCTGGAGGTCTGAAAGAAAGTCTTGAGAGTTCGGAACTGCTTCAAGAATCGAGTCCTGTGACCCTCCAGCGTGTCGGCGGGCAGACCTGGAGAGAGAAATGGAAACTCGTACACTGCAATTTGGATTTCTCAACTGGTCAAATCCACCTTCAAATCCTCCAGAACTCTGTGCTGGATTTTGAAGCAGATGGGAAGGGTCGGTATGAAGGACTTACATGCATGGAGTTTGAAGAGTAGTCGGACGCTGTAGTCATACAAGAGTCCTGAGTCTAAGATGACTTGGATGAGTGGAGCCAGACGACACTGACCATTGGGGGCAACCGACAAGCTCCGGGCCAAGTTGAAGGTACTGAAAACTGGGAAAGAGATCTAAAGTCTCTGCAATTGGATTCTTCAAACAAAATTTTTTACACATTTTTTTTGGCTCATGACATGTTCGAAACTAGGGTTTCTGAAATACGAGTACACCACCGAAATGAATGACCTGTCCAATTCTACACCGGCAGTCTTCTTATATGTCAGTGTCTTTATTTAACAGCATTTAGGCAGAGGGAATGAAACACGATACGTGCCATGGGCATGGAATCAGGTGCCTAAAGACTCTAGCGCCATTAGCAGCGCTGCGAACTCAATTAATGGCATTCCAATCTGCAGATTCCCGACAACTGGTGCGTGTTAAACTAGGACGTCCAGGCTATTCGGAGAACTGATGTGCTCTGGTGAGCATGACTGGTTGTAATATGCATTGTGGAGGCTTTCGATGACAGACACTACGCACATTGCTCACCGTTTATATGGGTGACAAACGTTTGTAGAAAAATTCACCCTAGGTGGCAGATTTAGCCTCAAAATTCGCACTGTTCACCTTACGTTCAGGCTTCTTCAGCTGATTTTTATAGTATCTATCAGCTGGTGTATTCAGTGCAATTTTCTTCAATAAATAGTGAATAACTCTTTCTCTTTCGTACCAATGGCCAGCCACGGTTTGGTTACAGATAGCACTCAAAACTACCACTGTGCAAGGACAGAGAGGACTTTCCAAGTTTTGACTTACCAGCTTCCTCCAGTGCTATCAGGGCATCCATGTGATCAAAGATCTCAACAGACATCTGAAAACTGCAGAGAGAGCGAAAAAACAAGAGCTTTGTGGGTGACTGAACCAAACACCCTTTGTTAACCACGCCTGATCTTTGCCCTCACGGACGCATACTTTTATCCCTGCAAAAAGGATTTACTCCTAGGCATGTTTCAGTGCACAGCGCTGTCTCCTCCTCTGAAATCAAATTGCGAAGGTGACATCAGGTCTCATGGTCAAACGAGAAAGTGGCATGAACTCAATTTTCATTGCTAGTGTTTTTACCGGGGTATATCTCTGGATTGCCGCAAGCAAGTTAGACAAAATAAAAAGCACCACCGAAATACCAGGGTCCTCTTTTTGAACCGTGTTAGTTCTACGCACCGCCAGCTGACATTTCATGTCAAAAACGGAGGGTATTTTCTTGCGCCGTCTTGGGAAGGGGGAAGGGGACACACCCCACGCAAAAAGCCAGCTGGGTGTTCCTTGAAACCTGACCAAACTTTCAACATCATGGCTCCGAGTGCAGGGGCTGTGAATTTACTGAAGTGGGGTTTGGCAGAACTGGGGTAGGGGGGAACTGAAGACGAGGGGCTACACCGGAGAATTCACACCCAGAGCGTTCAATTCTTGAAAGGGGTTTGTTTTATTTGTTTAAGATTGGTGTATGGCTTACAATGCGTTGATGTCATTCTGTGCCATTTTTTCCAAGTCTGCCTCTGGAGAGGCTAGTTTCAGGTCGCCGGGGAACAGAGGGTGCTGAAAAAAAGAAGAAGCAGAAAACAATGTCAAGATTTGAACAGTATAAAAGGAACTGGAGAACTTGTGCAAAACATAAAGTATTGGTCCAGACCATTTAATTAAAAAAGAGGTTAGGAAATATCATATTAGGGAAAAATATCTATCAATTGTAAACTGTGAAAGTCAAATATTTAGTTCTAAATGGGACCAATATTCTAGACTCTTTCAAGAGTGAGGAAAATGCGACTTATTAATTTTGGCGATTTTTTGTCTCGTGAATGTGAACCGAGGAAAGAGAAATACAGAAGTTATTTGGGAAAAAAAGAAAAAAAAAGTTATGGTCCAGACACAATAGGAGAGATCGAATTGGGCTAGAAAATTTACATCACTGTTATTTCAACTCACAAAACTGGTACATGTATTAATACACGTAAAGTTATCTCTGATCAAAATCTTCTAAAAACAGATCAAGAATCCAAACTTCACTGGAGAAGAGAAGGGATCCATACTGGTACTTCCTTACGATGATACAAAATGGACTCAGTTTGTACGTATATGTGAATGTCACTTCAAATTTCCCAGATAGGAGTTCTGGGGAACTGTCTGTTCACCGCTACCTTTTTGTGAAACTCCAGTCGATTGGTGAGCAGTTGACAATATTTCCCCACCAATCGTCCGTAGCCATCTGGGTGGTGACTCTGGAATGTGCAGACAAAATGTCAGAAGAATTAGAGCAAAATTGAACAGAAACAAACATGAAGCACAATTCAGAGAAGCAGCTCTGTAGTAGGTCACTGATCATGTAAAAGGTATGCTATATGACATTCAGAAGTTTTAAGAGGCCAAAGCAATAATTCTTGTGAATACTCCTCTGCGTCCTACGGTATTTAACTCGCTTTCCAAGTTTTGTTGTGCATGTTAGGGGCATTTTGGTACCTTTCTAATTTTTATGCTGATGCGAATTTGCTTATTAATGAGCTAGAGTGTTATCCCAGGCAGAAATAACCTCAGTGTGAGAGTTATGGCTGCCCAATTTTTGTTGTTGTTGTTGTTGTTGAATGTCCAACATTTTGTTTACTTTGGTGGTTTGTTGTTGTCTTGGTTTACAACATTGGGCCAGTGAGCAAAGTCTTTTCAAGTTGGTGATATCAAGTTAGCTTTGGACTGGACCAAACTGAGAATTCAGCGTGAAACTACACGTAGAATGACAAAACCTAGTATGAAATTCTGCATCCATAACTTGAACAGATATCCCCCAAAGTGATCATAGCAACAGCTCCCCCACTTGTTGGGATAAGCCTGACATTTTAAAGACTTATAAAGTGCACCTTTCATGGACATGACAGAGTTTTCTTACGCTCAATAGTAGAATGGAAGACTGGAAACTCTTCAATAACCAATTCTTTTTGGTTAAAATGATAGAAGTCATGGTGCAGAGGCAAGTCCTGGATCTTCATAAAAAACAATGCAATGTCCACCTCTTATCCTTGATGGGCCTTCAAAATCAACCGGTTTTGGGGAGACTTGAAAAGGGTACTAGACTCAAACTTTACATGAACAGGTGTCTACAGGTGGTAACTTCACACAAACAGGTGTCTATTGGAAAGGGGAATAGTAATTGTACTTGCAAAAAGTGTTGAGAGTGACAATTATGAGAGTGACAAAACTGATCTTTCGAAAATCTTGCTCAGTAATTCTTGTTTATACGGTTTCAAGAAAACAAACCCTTCATGAACTCCATCAGAAAATTACAAACAACATTATCATAAATTACAGACAATATCTGCAAATAACAAGTGGCCATATACATGCGTGGCAAATATTTGTAAAGCAAAACCCTCACGTCTTGACGACCAGCAGAGCATGAATCACTCTAGAAATATCCAACATCGTCAACTGGACTTGAATGAATGCAAACAAGGTCATAAACAGGAACTTTAACTCTGTGAGCCTTGACCAAGATTTGTCAAAAGAGCGCAACCTCGAACTACCCGTGGGAAGTTCTAAATATAGCCAATTGGTTGCCGACAAAAGAAACGCAGCACTCTGGTCCGCTGGCTTTCAGGGAAACCCCACTGTGAACAAGTTGGACCCCCACACTGAAATATTTGGACAGCTTTGGCTAAAAAGTACATGTACGTACATGTATGCGAGGCCCACAAGTACACTTGGAAACTACTTTTCAAAGTAGAAATATGACAGCTATTTCCAAAACTAGATATTGTTCAGACTTTTTTTTTTTTGACATGACAAAAGTAAAAGAAAATAATGCATGTTTAGTTTTGGTTTTAATGTTGATTTAAGAGGTTTGGAATGGTCAGTGTGTGACTTTCTGATTACCAGGTAGAGTTAATCTCTACATGCTTTTCACAATCTTGGACAGGTCAAATTAAAGTGCAGATGAATAAAAGACATTTTTATATGAAAATTCTAAAATTCAGTCACACCTACAGTAATTGCACTGCATTTTTGACAACTTTAAAAGTTAGCAAGATGTCAGTAAACAAACATGTACCTAGTACATGTCCCCTGTATTATTACCTCTTCCGTCACGTGCTCACTTCAATAACTGAGATCCAGTCCATTAGGTGCCCGACAAACCGTCATTAGGGTGACAAATAGGTCAAAAGGTCAAATTTAGGTTGTTTGGGAAATTGATAGAGCACTGAAATACTGTATCTTTCATTTGGTATGTTTTTTTAATGTACCTGTTGACTCAAGGGGCGACGTCATTCTGACGTGATCACCACAATGAAAAGAGCGACAGGTGGGTTTTCATTACTTTTGCCTGGAATAAGTAACCAAGTAATACTAATGTAGCAAAACATGCGCTTGCGTCCCACTGAAGTGTACATGTAGACGCAGTCAAAGACTATTCCAAGCAAAAGGTCGTTAGGATTGTTACATGCTGCTTTAGTGCACATTTTAGGCATAAGGAGTTCCTGGCAAAAGGTCGTTAGCATAAAATGTAAATTACAGTCCATGAAATGTTAGATCTTATTTCTATCATCAACAAACCTTCGTCTCTCTAAAATTCAGACTTGTGTGATTTGTATTTACAAATGGGAACCCCAAAACTTTAAAAATTGATTATCTAAAAAATTACATGTTATATTTGCAAGCCCGGACTGCTAACATCCTTTATCTTGGCACATGACAACTTGTACATGTACATTTCACGTACCGGTTCCCTGTATATATTTATGACTTATATTTACAACATACATACAACACATGTACAGTGCATGATGTACAGCATTTGCATGCGTACATGTATGTTCCTAGCTTATGATCAGATGTACATATACACCTGCTCAACTACATGTACATGTATGTGAACTTATACCAGGTTAGCCCAAATGACCAAATCGGTTGTGGAAATAAACTGAAAGGGCGGTTGAGCAATAAGTACATACATTGTAGCACATGTACCTGGATCCAAATTACGTGCGAATCATTCCAGAAATTAGGGGTCCAATTTTTCCGTGTCCCAGTCACATCTGACATATGATTTTGTAAGTTCAGAACACATTTTCTAATTTCCAAGAGTGATGAATTAATGCAAATTACCTGCAAAACAAATGGTAATAACTTGAAATCAATTCCGTTGATATTCCCATGTCAACTAACAAAGGCCAGATGTAACAGGGGCATAAAAAGTGACACTTTTGGACCCCTGATTACTGGAATGACCAGTGCACAGGTGCAACCCCAGGAATGATATTACAATGTACAATGTCTTTGTGTTTACTACAACCACCTGCTTTGTGAATTCAAACATCCTTTAATCACTCGGCCGGTGAATTATACAGTGCTAGCTGCAGTTTAGAGTATTGGATGTAACTATCATCCGACCTCAATACTGTACTTTTTTTATATTAGCAAAAACATACTGGCACCTAAAACGGCTTTTGCCCTAGTTTTTTTCGACATTGTGTAAGAAATGGTTAAGTTTTTGTTTGGCATTGCTCGGAGTAATCGATGCGCTAAAACATACACATCATGATAAATCATTGATCTATTGAAACAAGCCCACTGAGGGACTGATGCAAGTCTGATAGACCGACACACATCTATTCCGTTTTTGCAGATGAGTCACCGCATCACCGCAGTCCAGACCGGATCTCTAGTTGAGCACGACCTTTGAACCCTCACCTCTAGCATATTTGAGTGGAATATTAAACTGGGAGCCTGACGCCCTGTCAATGTTTCATTCACCCTCATGTGTACTGTATCAATCTCCATCACAGTGTGACAAAAATTCAATCATATCTGCACTTTTCAATGGAGTTAATATTTCTGGACACGTCATTTACCGATTAAACCTTTGTCAAAGAATACTTGTAACTGATGCTACCATCTGACCTTAGTACATGTGTCCAATTTATCACCGAAATGCTTACATATTTAAAACGAGAAGTAGGTTGTTACATATATTCCTTCCTGATAAGGGTGTCGCAAGACAAACTTGGCACTTTGCCAAGATCATGAAATCATTTATTGAGTTTGTTTTCAAGAGGGAGTTGAACAATGGTCATCGCTGTTGCTGTTTGTGACAGTAAACTGTGACCAAAGACGGAAAGGAAAGAAGGACACATTCCCACGGAGTAATTCCCAACAGAATAATTTATCTTCAATTTGTGAACTGCTCCACGGGAGGATGCTGATTGCACAATCCGAGTTCAACTTTTGGTCCTGGAAAATGAAATGAGGTTGGCTTGGCACGTTCTGCCTGAATTGTTGAAACTTTCAGCTTTCTGGTTCAACAAAACTGGTTGGCTTGACTTCATTTCTAGGCGGCTGCCACTGGGACTGGGTCATCACTGGCCCACAGATATGAGGGTGGCACATCACCATGCTTACCGCAGCGCCTCGTAGGACAGAATGGGTGTCATCGGTGCATACATATGACTCATTCCAGAAATTAGGGGTCTATTTGTTTTCGCGTCCCTGTCACATCTGACGTATGATTTTGTACATGTAAGTTCAGAACACATTTTCTAATTTCCAGGAGTGATGAATTAATGCAAATTACCTGCCAAGCAAATAGTAATATTTTGACTTCAGTTCCGGTGATATTTCCATGCCAAGTTACAAAGGTCAGATGTAGCAGGGACCCAAAAATGTCACACTTTTGGACCCCTGATTTCTGGAATGACCCATATATCACCATGCTCTGATAGATGATAAGCATATATGAAGGAAAACGATTGCCTATGAGAAGACACTTGTTTGAATTCAACACCAGTAAAGTGTGTGAGTTTGTGGCATTGGGTACTGGTACATGTAGCTTACTATCTGGTGTTTAATTTTGTGTGATTGGGTACTGTGAGCCTGCACATACCCTTTTGAATTTGGACTGAATGGGTGCTGTGGCCCTCTCACTTTATCCCAGCCACTGGGGATGGATATGCAGCATGATGGTGTGTGAGTTTGTTTGAATAGGTACTGCCTGTCCATACTCTTTGTACTGTGCAGTGGGCCTGCTGTACCCAATCAAACAAAATCACACTGGTAAAGCCCTGTTGGAATTTGTGGGATTAAGTACTCTTGCAACAGGAGTACTGTTGAAGTCTGTGGGATTGGGGAAGGTTAGGTCCAGCAACCCTTGGGCGGTTAGGGTCAACCATAGTTTTAAATCTTCTGGGAATTATCTCCTTCAACCAGAAATGGTAAGAGTTTAATACAGACTGTGCCTCTCACTTGCTTGGGATGGAATACAACTCACATGTACACATGTATTTAAGTCTGTAATTTTCCATAATCATGTAGACCGCATCGATGACCCCCCCACTCTATCCCAGCATGCACTGCGGTAAACACCTCCATGCGTCATCAGTGCTTCAGGGTATTGACAGATACATAGGGAAAGACGCTGAGAGTGATAGACACAAAGAAATGGAAGGAAATTGACCAAAAAATAGGGTTCTTGACAGGCCAAAAAGTATTTGAAAAATACTTTTAAGATGGACATTTTTCCTGTTTCACTGCAATGACTGTTGTAGATAAGTCTTGAAGGTTTGCATGGTGAGGAGGTATAATAGAAAGTAGGCTTGCGGTAGCACCATGGACGTATCTCTTCTGTGAGTATTTGCGGTTCTGAAAAGAACCAGTGGTACTCGACGTTTCGAGCAGTAACCTCTGTTGGTTTGCCTTCTCAGACTTTGTTTAACCCTAACCCTCCCAAATCCTTTTCTGTAAAGTGGAGAAATTCGGAGGATTCAGGGTGTATGGTAAAAGTGCATGGCCGATTGCGAAGGATGCCATACATGAAGGTCATGGATTAGACCTTGTGTTGTTTTTGGTTAGTCAAGCACAAATTTAGCCCCATATTTATTTTGAATCAACTACACAGCTCAAGCAGGCCCTTCGCACAGCCTCAACATAATGACAGGAATTTACAGAGGATTTTGAAGGATTCAGGCAGTTAGGTACATGTACACCTCCAAATGACATTTTCAAAAAAATTTGGAGGTTTTGGGAGGATTTGGGCTAAATGCAATTTTTTCATGTTGGAAATCGGACTATCTCCAAGGATTCAGGATGGTTCTTAGTGAAATGGCCTGGGGGTTAGGGTTAAAAGTTCAGTGGAAGACGCCAGAAAGGGTCCATAATACAGTACATGTATCAAATGACAACTTATTTTGAGGCTGTTTTAGTCATTTCCTGTGGTAACTCATAAATCGGGAAGAGTTTGATATACGGACGCCAGTAATTATTCCCTACAGTGGCCTACATGTATAAGCGGTCAGAAGGCAAAAACATGTCAAGAAACGTATACATAGAAAACACATTTTTCAGACCAATCTCATGGCATTCGTGCACGGGGTGTCAAGTGGAATCCCTTTTGCACAAAGGCCGACTGCATACATGTATGATGTAACCTCCAATTGTCTGTCACTTAGAGGAATGGAAGTGTAAACTGGGTGGGGGTGTCAATATTTCTGCAAACCAGGCAAAAATTGAGAGAACTGACAAAACCATTCTATCTTTGAGATGCAGCACTTCAACCAGTCTGTCAATCTGCACTGTAGCTTGCTTTCTTCTCGATAAACTGGCTTACTGTCTCAACTTTGGAACACAAACAACACACATGTACATATATATTTTTCAACTGGTGGTGGCACATTTGGGGGGGGGATTTACGGTTGAAAAGGAAAACTGAATTGGGACCCAACGAGGACACAGATATTGGCCTCCAAATCCGAAATTGAACCAAGCACCACGTCACTTTAAGTAAAATGGACCAGTCATCAGAGCTAAAATCTTGACAATGACCGAAGGACGGCATCCAGAATAACACTCTACATGTTCCAGCAAGGCCAAAAATAACCCAAATGATTTTGTGCTTTTTTCACCGCCAGCTCTGATGACCGTAACAGAGATCCACATCAAAGAACTTGTGTGACCTTGTCATCACCCGGCACAGAATGAAAATCACTAGTTTCAATGGGTCAGTAGCAGTAGGCTATAGTTGGACATCCAACCAAATGGGACGGGACTGATGTATCACGAAACTACTTCGGTACTGGATATGAACATTTCCTGGAGCAATTAATGCGCTATGCTGTCAATATATGAATATTCATCATCTATGCAGATCCAGGTACAAGTTCAGACTTCCCCAATTAAGTATTTCCACCATCTCGCAGACTTGTATTTGAGTCCAAGTCTGAGTCACACCTTTTGAGTATAAGTTATTCAGGTCAAGTCTGAGTAATTTGTCAAAGTGACTTGAGTCCCAGTCTGTCATGAGTCATACAAGACAGTCTCTTCCTTGTCATGAATAGTAACTTTGTTCCAAAATCAGCAGCAAAAATCATGAGAAAATGAAGCCTCAAAAACAAGTTTGAAAAGGTGGTCTTTGAGGAGAATAGTAAATTAAATTACATGCTAGTCTTTTCTCAAGCTGCATGCATGCTATGCATGGATGGACTAAAATCCAACCACTGCAGCAAGTGCCTCGGATCAAGGATTAGCAGCCGCAAACAACTGGGTCCAAGAAATTTGGGTAGCTGACACAATGACAGGTGTCTATATAGACAACACTCCCTGACCCACAGTCCAAGCAGGTGCTAAGTGTAAATGCCTGCATGCAGGTCAATGTCTTGGTCGGATCCATCAACGGTACTCACCCAGCTGGTTCCCAGTCTCCCAATGTATTCCGCATGTGGCTGACAATCCTTCATAACCTAAAATGACAAGAATAGACAGAAATCTTCTTCTCAATTATTACTTGAAAAATGCTGCATAATCTTTTCCAACATTTTCTCACACTTTCCATTTAAGTTTTAGAACTTCAGAAATTTCAGTGTAGCAACTTCTAAAAGAATGAAATTCCACACAACATCCCTGGGTCTATGTCCTTCAGGTCTTCCAGACTCACAAAAAGGCAAACCAACCCAAACCATTTTTAGTGTGTGTAAAAGAAGTGGGTTATAACTTATGGCATGTCAATATGTGTAACCCGACTATGTTTCTTGAAAAAGGTGCCTTGGCATAAAACAGTGTGAACTCATCTTTATTTATGAGCTGAAGTGGGAGGAGCATAGTGCCTGCTCACTGCCTTTAGACTGGTTCATGAACAAGTAGCCACACTCCTCCTGGGTCATCAATATTCATTACTCAACAACTCCCTCTAATAAGGGTTAACAGAAAACACTTGTTATGCCAGGCTACACTTGGATAAGGTTAAGAAAATTCCCGGTTGACAGTTTGTATATGACTCATTCCCTCCCGCTGAAAAAAAGGTCTTGGAGCTAAATACCTACACCAACTCACCAGATATCAATTCTTAATCGGCCAGGCTCTTAAATTCAGACTGGATCTCACAAAATGAGTCTCAAGGACATTCATGTCACTGCTTAATTTTGTCCATACACAGCAGGATCCGTTCTCCATTTTGATGTAGCAAACAAAGTTATGACATCCTATGATCCTGTTAAATGTGGCTGTCACATACATGTATGTACAGCGGCATGTGGGTGGAATTTTAAGTGGTTACTGTATGGGCAGGGTAGTTCCCGCATATTTCCAGTCGGCAAGACTTGTTCAGAGGCATGTAACTCAACAGTGGCTCCGGAGACTACAGAAACTTAAAGTGCAATTTCGATGTCAAAATTCAAGTGAATATGCATGTAATACACGTACATACCAGTCGTTCCAACATATACATTGTACATCATTCTGCAAGTTCACATACAACTACCGTGCAACACAACGGGCCTTGATGTCACAATTTGGGGGAACGCAGAAAAAAAATTGGGTCTCAGGTTTGAACAACAATCTCATGGATTCACTGTTCGTGTTTGCACAATAAGCCTTTTGCAAGATAAATCTGAATAAATTCTGGTATCCCGGTACACTAAGTTATCTGATTGCACATTAACATAACATTTTGAATTCTCCAGACTAAAGACACTGTTGCTATACCTCATGATTCGGGGGGCAAGCTTTTGCATAGCAACCACCATCTTTGGAATGGACTGGTTCCTTTGTGCACTTCTTTTCCATTGAAAACAGCGTATTGAGGCAAGGCGTCTCTTATGTAACTAAGCAAAATCTTGCCCCAAATCACAAGGTATAGTAACAGTGTCTTTAGTATGGCGAATTCAAATTGTCATGTTCACGTGAATTTAAAGAACTCAGTGTACCAGGTTTTATTCAAATTATATTTTTTTACAAATTCACTTTATGATTTGATGTCTGCTCATAGGACAGCAGGTTTTACGTCCAGCACTGATTATGAAGTTGCTAGATTTTAAACACCTATAAGACATTAAGAGGCAATTCGAAAGGCACTGCAGGGTGTACATGGTTGGGGACACAGGTTAGAGAGCGCCCTCTAGCACACACTACATGTACTACTCATTCAAGCAGCAGGATGCCTACATACAGTGTACATGTAGGTAGGGTCAGGTCATCGGAGGTCAGCGGGACACACCCATGGCATTACCACTCCAGGCAGGAAAAGGGTCAAGGACTTTTAACAACATGATATTGTGGGGAAAATACCAGAAATTGGAAACAAAAACCTCCTACTGGCTCGGCGAAATTCCCTCCCCCCCCAAAAAAAAAAAAAATTAGCCAAGGTCAATACCTGTGGTTGTAAATTATTCTCATGGATATACATGTCGAGGACTTTGCTTGCCAGTAATTACATGTACATACATGGCCAAACAAAAAGTAACTTACGGGCTCTCCGATTGGCACCATCCTTTTGGGGGTTAATATTTTGGACTGAAAAAATTGTAGGTTGTGCATGATTTTCTAGGTTGGGACTCAGGCTGGCAATCAGAAACATAGTTCTAACCTTTTGCTTGGCTTCAGTGTACCATTGAGTGCAAGGGAAGTGCTTGATGCCACTGAGCTTGGCAAAAATGAACTTCAGTTTTTGGATGCTTCCAAGAAACCACTACCCTCAATCCTGCAAAATCCTTGGAGGATTAGAAATAAAGAGATTCAAAAATGCACGCGCCTCCACAGACATGGTACGCTTCCTGAAATGCCTTTGCCCATTGCGTTATGCCACGTGGAAAACCTCTACAATGTGCAAACACATCTTTGGGAAATGAGGGAAAAATTGATGCAGTTTGCCCTAAAATCCTGATGAAACGTTTTACTTTTGTACAGTGCCAGGTGATACACGCTTAGAAACAGAAAGACCTGAAGTCTATGAAGGGTCCTACAAACACATGCATAGGTGCAGGGGAAAGTGAGTCTATTTATGCAGACGCTAACAGTCATGCTGGCCTAGCCTACACATGTACTTGTCTTCATCACGATCCAATATTGAGCCCGAGAACCCGCAGTCCACGGGGGAATCACCATGGAAAACACATACATGTAACAGCAAAGTGTGTTCACCCAGTTCGGGTCTTGTTTGCACGAGATTCCGGAGTGCGGCGGAGACGTGGTACGGAGTTAATTATTACACGCTGCCAGTTCTGGCATCTCTGAGGTTAGCACCTATACAGCACAGTCTGGAAACTGAAAGACTGCATCCCAACCACGGCTGATGTACATATAAACATTCCACAGTGCTTCAGTCAGACATCTTGCAGTTGTTATGGTACAAGCAATGAAATGGAAAATGATGAATGAAACAAGGATATTAATTCATTTGGCTTTAGTCTTTACTTGCAGGGGATGCTACATGTAGTTTTGATACTAGACTTTACCCTGACTGTTACATATTCCCACTGTACTCTCAGTGAGGCCCAAGAGTTCCATAAAATTACAAGCTGGCTAGGCAATGAGCCTTTTGCGAGTTAAATTTAAATAAAATCTGGTACACCGAGTTCTTTAAATTAACGTGAAGATAACAACTTGAATTCTCCATACTAAAACCACTGTTGCTATACCTCGTGATTTGGGGCAAGCTTTTGCTTAGTTACATAAGAGACCCCTTGCAACAATACATTCTTCTCAATGGATAAGAATGGCACATGGAAACTAGTCCATTCCAGGGATGGTGGTCGCTATGCAAAAGCTTGCCCCGGATCATGAGGTATAGCAACAGTGTCTTTAGTCTGGGGAATTCAAATTGTTAAGTTTCTTTGCAATCAGATAACACAGTGTACCAGATTTTATTCAAATTTAACTCGCAAGTGCTTTATTGCTGGACATCTTCACTTGTAAGCAAGAAATTCTAGAATCGAATCCCATCTGGGCAAGCTTGTGTTTTTGTTTATTTTGCAATTCCCAGACCATGCTGAGAACATAGAGACTTAACATGTACATGTATGGTACACTATACACGTTTGAAGGCAAAAGGGCAAAACCAAGGACATATGCATGGATAAGGCATATTTGCATACATCTGCATACATTTAAATATTTTGATCTTTGTCCCAATTACACGTAGGCCCAGCATACACCGTAATCTGCACAGCAATTACACAAATCATCAGGAGTGTTCACGATTCACGATGCACTTTCCTTTATTATTACCAATCTAACGTGTACCGGTACTCGTACATGGACACATCATGGAGGAAGGTGTACAGCCATTTTATCACCTATTATGTAAATGTGTATGTCACACATGTATGTAAATAAGTGGCATACATTCATGAAGTTTGAGAAGAAAATTGGGCTTTCTGAAGTCTATTTGAGAATACCCCAAAATCTGTAAGGGCAGACTGTCGCACTTTTAATGTTTTAATTCATTCTTTAGTTCAATTCTGACACAGCACAAGTTGGCCAACAGTGTACACTGACAAAAAGTCATTGTGTTTTTGTTATTTGTTCTAAACAAATCATTTCCAAAGAACAACAATAGGACGTTAAATTAAAATCATCTGCCAATGACAGATGGCAAATGTCTCATCACAGAGCAAGGACACATGGGTATGTATGCAAACCTGGCACCATTCATTTCTGTGATGGTACATGTAAGTACATGTACGCGTAGCCTGCATCCCAGCAGTGTTGAATTACCTTACTCAAGGTACAGTTTCCTGCCACAATGACATGGAGTTTGGCCAGGTCTGGAAAGCCACACAAAGGCTCTCTCTCTTTCTCTGAAATCTGAAGGATTGTACACGTACAGCTAAAACCCTTGTGCATTCACACCCCCCCCTTCCCCACTGACAAATTCTGCTGAACTGGACAAGGAAACACTCCGATATTTTAGAAGGTGACACTCTCTGGGGATCCCCACTGGTAGGAAGGAAAATTAAAAAAAAAAAAGCCTTTCTATTGGTTCCAGACTTTTCTATTCTCTTCGCTTGATATTAAAACGGACTGGATTGCCAACCTGCAGTGCCGTGGGTCGCAACAGAATCCTAACATCTTTTGTGAAAATTAAAAGTGTGTTTCCCTCACTGCAATGCATGGACCACTGGTCCACTTCAGGCTTACTTCTCCGATAAAAATTCTCCACTAAAATTCTCAAAAAAGGTCAACCAGGTGCACGTTTGTTCGGTACCTTGGTAAAAAGCCTATTAACTTGTTCATCTTGTTTGTTCTTTGAGTTGCCTCTGCATGAAATCAAATAATTACAATTCATTATCAATTATATTAAAAAATTGTAAACTATTACTGGCAGGGACATCTAGGGTACATGTACATGTGTAATAAACCTAGATGTATGCATAAATATGTAATTAAGCAACAATGGAACAACATCCGCACACATGGAAATTTACAGATTAAAAAACTACATCAGAAATACTAAGGTGAACTTCACTTAACAATTCCAACCATCTGCATGTACATTGAGCACGGCAATGCCATTACCTTGACATGGGAGAAACTGTAGCGTGGGGACCACAGTTAGCATGAGGACTGTGGAAATCAACAGGGCCTATACAAATACTGGTTTGTTGATATTCAAACCATACGGTGAATCATCTACCAGATCCACAAACAGTTGTTGTAGGGACACATTGTTTATATTTGCATTGTATCCCAATAGGGTTTGCAAACATACATGTATAGGGCAGCCTACAATCATGTACATGTTCATGTACAATGCATGTACAGGATGTATTGTACATGTAGACGTACTGCTTTCATCAATTTACACTTTTCAGTGGTTTTCCCAGATATATGCATACAGGTGTGAAACCACTTTGTGACCAAAATGACATACAAGTTGCTCAAGCCACTTTTGAGATTAAAGGCTCTTGGAAAAATCCTGCACCACGGACATCAATGGAAACTTTCACCATTTCTAACCTAGATGCCATCCATTTTGCATCCATCAGGATGCCAAAATGAGTGGCACATCAAAGCCAAGAGCTCAATATAACAAAACTACAAACAAGAATAGGCTTTCACATTTGTTTTGTGGGACCCCAGACACAATTGGAAAAACACGATCAAGCATCACGTCTGTTTATTTTACTACTACCAATTTTTTTTTTCGGCGACTGGAAAAAAATCAGAATTGCTCTGATGAGCATGAACGCTTTGAGAGTAAAAGAGTTCTGATTAACCCTAACTGCCCAAAACCTGCCATACTCCAACAGCAGGTTTTGTGAGGTTTTGGCAGTTTTGAGGAACTCAGTACCTGAGGAACTTCTTGTTGAATTTTGTGAGACTTGGGATGAAAGGCCCAGAGAGATGGTGTTGGATTCTGTGTGAGTTGGGACACACACGGGTCACCGTGTGCAGTGTCTGGCTTGCTGTACCAATTATTGGACTATGCTTGATTTTGTCAAGTTTGGTATGTTCAGTGCAAGTCATCCTATAGTGCATAGACCCATCCATACCATATCACTCAAACTCCAACGGGCTCATTCTGTTGGAGTTTATCAGGGTTTGGTACAGTAACCTGCATGTACCAGTACATTGACAAGTACATGAACCTGTTGGATTTTGTGAGGTTCAGTATGCTTTCTAGTGCAGTCCCACTGTGTTCATTTTCAATAGACTCTGGCAAAATTATGTGGGAAATCGGGATACAGCTGCTAGGCATAATCAGTCAATTAGCATATCAAGTGATCGCATTACACTAGCAGTTAATCCAGTAGAAAATCTGTGACTTATCTTCCCCTTAAAAATCTTTCACAAAACCCAACTAGAAATTGACTGATGGCTGAGGGACCAACAGATCTCAGCACAAGATCTACTGGCTGAGCGAATGATCAATCCAACAATTTACACCAAGCAGACCTCTTCCAAGTCTAAAATATCCCAGTGTTACATTTTTATAATTACAGCATGATGCATCCTTTGCTATTTCATTTCAGTTCAGGAAAGTTCCATATAGACCTTTATCATGACGCCGCCATGTTACTCTTGTTCCCTGAAGACCCACTGGAAAAAGGAATATGACTTCACATATTGTTAAAAGGAACCAGACTATTTGCCCTTCCAACCTCAGTTTGGTTACATTGCTTTGAATCTCGAGAAAAGCAAGATGGCTGCCTCGTGATAAAGGTCGGTTGCCTAGATTTCATATCCTGCAATGCTACTCACATTTTGATGGCCATCGCGAATCACTTTATGTAACGTATGGCAAAACTTCCAGCACATAATCGACGTCGTCTGAAGCGGGAGACGAAGAACGGCTGCCCAGAAGACTGTCAAGCCTTTGTCGGTAAATGATCCAATGATAATGCCTGGCGCAAACAGTTATGGAAAGATACCTCAAGGATTCCCCCACATTCACATATAAATAGATTCATTAATTCAGTTAATGGCATCGTTGCCATGTCAACAGTTGTTTTCTGCTTGAATGGGCAATTTAAAGGAATGAATTTTTAACATGATGGACTTCATTTTTATAATTAGTGCAATGTATTGTAAAGTAACTCAAAATTTTTTGAAATATCTTACTGAAATGTAAGGGGTATTCACTTAATCGTAGATGCATGAACATGTAACATTCTGCATGAAAAGTAAAATTAAGCGAAACCCATCACTCCAAATGACCAACGGAAAGGGTGCCATATCTTGACAACACTTGACACCCTGTTCACAAACACTGTGAGACTAGTTTTAAAAATTCTGAGTGTTTTCTAGGTAGATGTTTCAATACATTCCCTGCTGAATTTGAAACCACTGCAAGGGAAAATAAGTAACGTCCGTACACGGAACTCTTACCTGACCAACAATTACACAATAATTGTTTAGCAATTATGGTGTATGAATTACCAGACATGAAACTTGGACGGAAGAAAAAAAGATGAACTTCCAAATCTTGACAAGCCTTTCTTACAGCGTTGTTTGTTTTTTATGGCACGAGTGTGAAGTGAAACACGAGGAAATCAACTGATCCAAGGAAAAGTTGCAAGCCTTAATTACTAGAATAATCATGCCAATTGCGAACTTCAGGCTTCTATTTCAACATACAAAATCAAATTTGTGTTGATATAATTTGATTTGAAATAATGAGTAGGGATAAGCAGCCGTGAAATTTGAACTCAGCATGAAATGCAACAGATTTTAACCTCCCGATTATAAAAATACCCAAACATAAACAAAGTATTGATTGTAAAAGTAAACAAAAACTAGACAATGTTGAGCAACAAAGGATACTCCTGGCATGTTTCTCTTTGACTGGGACCTCCACGGCATTAATGGCCTTGGATACACTGATAGTCTGTAATTGGAAACAAAATGTATTGATTAATTTATCAGTAACTGGGTGAACATGTCAGATATGGAGCAGGGTTGACGATCAGGAATTCAAACGGAAATGAAACATGGAATAAGAGAGAACTAACTGGATTCATCTGCAAACGGGATCTGATGACAATCCTTACTGGAGGGGGAATCTCTCCTTGCTTGTTTTACTAACAATTTCAGCTTCTCACACTTTCTGTAGTACTTAACGAGCTCAATTGCAGAATACCCCGCCAACCTGAATAATCCACCTCATAGCCAGGTACAGGTCAAAGTGTCACACTCTTCTCAAGGGATGTTCCCCTTGTACCCACGTAACCCGTCATTCTAGCATACAGTGCTTATTAATATACGTTGGGTAAGGGCAAAACCTGTTATATATAATTAACATCTCCCTAACGCAAAAATACATCTTGAAAATAGTTCGCGGTACCCGCTGCTTCATTTGATTCGGACCGGCCGGCCGACCCCGGCGGGCTCGGTGGTCGAGTGGTCATCTGCACTGGTGGGCAGGAGGTCGTGGGTTCGAGTCCCACTCAAGTA